AAAAAAAAGAGAACCGAGACCGGACCGCATGGGCACGGTCCGGTTTATAGGCACGCGCAATTCCAGGCCGGTGCCGGTGCCGTTTCCCGGGCGGGGCCACGGGTCGGGCCGGCCCGTGGCCATGTCTAGTAAGCACCAATGCCCCGTATTATTTTAGGCTAATGATCGAAGTCTCACATAGAGGCTTCACAAGTGACGCCGCGGACAAGCAAAATAACAAATACTGTACCATTCTAAACCCTAACCACTGAGCACAAAAAGCCTCTCATATCTCCAATTCCTTTTCCTCTGAATCTCATCCATCTTTTTTCTATCCGCAGATCGATAGCTGAAGAGGGTTTCGACCTCTTTCGAAACCCTTGATCATACAACCAGGGTAAGCGATTTTGCACTGATATTCAATAGAATTTGATACCTGTAATGGCAGTTTATTTTCATTGTCATTATTTGAACGGTGGAGAACTTATGATTTTAGTGCATTATCCGATCGGGTCGCAACGTAAAGATAGTTATCTGCTTTAAATCAACTTAGGGTAATTGAATTTCTAAGTTTTTTTTTATTTTTTATTTTTTTTTTCTCATGACGACATCTGCAATCGGGATTGCATCTGAATTTTTGGGGAAAAAAATCTGGTGTATGATTTTCACTGATGAATTTGTTAGACCATAGATTAGCTTTCGAAATTTGCTTCTGATGCTGCCAATGGTGTGGAATAAGCGACAGGGGAAATTGGATTGATTTATGATTGAAAATTTTTCCGAACATTGTTATTTATGAATTTTAGTGGAAAATCTAATTTCATGACTGAGCCTTATTGTAGATATTGCAAAACTGAAATTGGAAATTGGTAATTCAGTTGAAGTTATTTTATTCATCTTTACCCATGGGCATGTATATTTTTCTTCTAGCAATATACGATATTGGGCTCGTAGAGTCTGCTTTCGATGGTTTGATGAATTCAATTGTGATATCCCCTTGTACTGCACGCTAAATTTGAATTCTTTAGTGTGTTTAACGTGAAATGGCCACTGCCGAGGCACCCCCTGGTACGCTTGGTCCCAGATATGCTCCGGATGATCCAACTCTACCCGAACCTTGGAAAGGTTTAATTGATGGAAATACGGGTGTGATGTATTACTGGAATCCCGAAACAAATGCTACTCAGTATGAAAAACCTCCACCCTTGCCATCTGGGCCTCCACCTGCAGCTCCCACACCTAAGATGAATCCCTTACCTGCAACGAGATCATCGCAACCAGACAATATTCAGACACCTCAGAATCAGCAAACGGTACAAACTCAGTTCACGCAAGGGCAGTTTACGAGCTCATCCTTTCAGCAGCACACGCAGGTAGCAGTAGCACAGCAGGCCACTCAAGTGGCTCTACCTGTCCAGGTGCAGGGTCATCTACCTCCGGAGCAAGTGAGGCCGCAGATGATGCAACAGCCTGGTCAGCATGCTCCTATGCAGCCCGTGCCACAGGGGTTTACCCAACCTATGCAGCCAGGGCAGCAGCAAGCTCCTTATCAACAGATGCAGTCGATGCCTCATGTTCAGCAAGGACAAATGTACCCTGGTGCACAGATGGGACCTCCACATGGTTTTCAATTTACCCATCAGCCTACACAATACACGGTTCATCAACGCAACATGCCTCCACAAGGGCCACAAAGCTCCTCACAACAATTGCCTCACCAAGAGCATAAAACAGAGCATGGTCAATTAGACAGTCATGATTTTCATCAAGCAAAGCAATCAGGGTTTGCGCAAGCCAATCAAACTTTTATGCAGGGGCAGCAATATCCTCACCCGCGGGATCAGAAAACTGGTAACCCTCAGAGAGATGATGTTGAGTTTCAGAAAGTAAACCAGGCTGGGTTTTCACCTGCTCAGATTCAGAAAACCGGCATGCAACCATTGCAGAACATGTCCTCAGGAGTCAATTCATCTCATGGACATAAGATGAGCATTCAACTAAATCAAGCTGTGGAATACAGTGGACCAGGTGCTAATATGCAACGGAATAACCCATCTATTCATATGCCCCAAATGGGTGCAGAACCAACACATCCGCACAATGGTTCTAGGTTCCAAAATCAAATGGGCCCTGGGATGATGCATGGCCAGCAGCAGAATCTTCCACATCCTGGATCAAAGATTCCTTATGAAGAAAACCATCCTGGAAGGCCTGGAAATGAATATATTTACAATACCGCCAAGGATGTCAATGCAATGTCTCCTCAGCTACCTAAGCTCTCACCCCTACCTCCTTCAGCCAGAAATCAACAGGTAAATTCGTTCTATGAATGCATTATAGTGGCTGCTTAAACGAGTTTGACCGCAGAAGTATATTGAACTGAATATTCATCAGTGTCTGCCACACATACACACACGCCAAAAGAATCTGTATGCAATATGCATTCTCCGATATAATAATTTTATTAGTGTTTCATATGGAGGCAGAGGTACTTACTTGAACATTTATCTGTGCTGTTTCTTCATCTTATCAGGAAGCGAGAATGGGTGATTTCCCCTTACAAAATCCCCCCCATAGTCTTCCAGGCAGATTTAATGGTCCTGGAGGGCCTGCATTGCCTGGTGTTGTTCATGGTCATTCCTCTGGTGCACCTCCTTATCCGAACAATGCTTTTGTGAGGCCTCCATTATCAATGATGGCACCTTCGGATCCTATGCATTTATCAGCTGCAGAAATGTACCGCCAAAAACATGAAGTGACAGCCACGGTTTGTAGTTCATCATTTGTACGGATTGCTGTGGAAGTAGAAACATTCCTCCACATTAATTTTTACATTCTTTACTGCTTCGTTGTAACTAAATGTTGTGCAAGTTATTGCTTCATAAATAAGTATGCTTCATCATGTCAAATAATTTCTCTTTGGCTGGGAGGATTCATAGATACTCACTCATGTATTGATGTGCTTCACATAAATGTTTGAGCTTGGAAAATCTGCTGTATGTAGGCTGTCTCTAGAGATGTTATCAATTTATCATAAATTGCTTAAAAAAATTATGCATTTTTCTCGATTGTTGGGGAATGATGGGATAGTTACGTGACGGTAACATACTGATCATGGCTATGGATTATTAATTCACATGCTAATACTTACACTGAGGACTTGTGGGATGCATATGATATCTGAATTCTGCTTCTCGGAGATGCTTTGGCTTTTGCAGTACATATTCTTGCTTCTTTATATTATTTCATCTATTCACTTGTGTGCAAGCTTGTATTTTAAAGATACTTGATCTGACTTATTTAGGGTGACGATGTTCCTGCTCCGTTTATGACATTTGAAGCTACTGGGTTTCCACCCGAAATTCTGCAAGAGGTAAGTACTTCAATGAGAAGTAAATTTTATCTTTGTTTGTGGAAATTCCATGATGAAACTTGTTATCATACTTTTATGTTTGAATCACCAAAGCCACACTTCCAGCTTATCAGTTTTAACTTGTCGCAGGTGCGATATCTGCTCCAAAAGAGGAGCACATGTCGTACGCTGCAGTGCCATGCTCATATCTATTCAACAACCATTCAGAGTTATTTTAGGTTGCAATATGGACTGTTGGAGCCTACGTATATTGCACTACTTCTTGAAGGGTGCTACATCCAATTCACACTATTATGTGACTGGGATTTCTAGCTTATTGGCTCTGCTTCTTCTCTTTTATTAGCACCGTTTTTTGCGTCGAGTTGCTTCAGTAAGCAACCACACACCTGATTTTTAAGCATTCAGTTTCCCCTTTTCTACTTCAGTTTCCTTTTTTTCCTTTTCGAATATTGTATCGTTTAGGGTACAGCCTCAACACTATTCACTAGAGTTGTGTGTGGACTTTTAAGGTCTGTAAATGAAAGGGCATTTTCTTATATTTACTTCATTTTTGTGCAGTTACATTTTGCTGGTTTCTCTGCACCCACACCAATTCAGGCACAGACGTGGCCCATTGCTTTACAGAACAGGGACATAGTTGCTATTGCCAAGACAGGTTCTGGGAAAACGCTGGGATATTTGATGCCAGCATTCATTCACCTGAGGCGACGACGTAATAATCCTCAGAATGGCCCAACAGTATTGGTATTGTCCCCAACCAGGGAGCTTGCGACCCAAATCCAGGATGAAGCTATTAAATTTGGTCGATCATCTAGAGTCAGTTGCACGGTATGACACATTACTATCAAACTGTTTATATATTCTTTCTAATTTGGTTGAGAAGTGCTCGACTGTTTCCTTCTCAGTGTCTGTATGGTGGGGCCCCAAAAGGACCTCAGTTGAAGGAGCTCGACAGAGGAGCTGATATTGTTGTGGCAACTCCTGGCCGGCTGAATGACATCCTTGAAATGAAGAGGATTGACTTTAGGCAAGTCTCTTTTCTTGTTCTTGATGAGGCTGATAGAATGCTGGACATGGGGTTTGAGCCACAGATACGTAAGATTGTCAATGAAATTCCTCCAAGAAGGCAAACTCTAATGTACACTGCTACTTGGCCCAAAGAAGTCCGCAAAATAGCAGGTGATCTTCTGGTCAATCCAGTCCAAGTCAACATTGGCAGCGTTGATGAACTTGCTGCAAATAAGTCTATTACCCAGGTAATTTCTGACATTTTGTCTTTCATTTTGATGAAGTTCGACTCATATATGGACATTTGAATTGTAGTGCAATAACTTGATTTGTAAACTAATTTGCTGCGTCAACTGCTGTGTCATTTACATTTTATTTAATGTTTTTGCAGTTGAGTAGATAGATATGATTTTACCTACATGGGCATTGTATCTTATTTCTGTAGTAATTCTTTCACCTCTGTTAGTTATCACTAGGGTGGTTAGGTTGCATTCTGACTGGAAGTTATGATCTTTTTTTATTAAAGATTTCAGGAGAGTAGCAAATATACACATAACAGTAGGCTTGTTTATAGAAACTAATTTGGTTCAGCCATCTTCTGATCTACCTTTGTTTACAAAATAGCTTGGCTTTGTATGTGATGACTGATGATTTTGGGTGGTAATTTTTTCTTCATATTTCCTTTGCTTTTGTAATATATCCATTTCTATTTACAAATGAGCGGCCCTCCTGTGCAGTACGTGGAATTAGTTCCTGAGTTCGACAAACAGAGACGCCTAGAACAAATTCTAAGATCTCAAGAGCGTGGTTCTAAAATCATTATATTTTGTTCCACCAAAAAGTTGTGTGACCATCTTGCACGCAATCTGGGGCGTAACTTTGGGGCTGCTGCAATTCATGGAGACAAATCTCAGGGTGAGAGAGACTGGGTTCTTAATCAGTTTCGGAGTGGGAAGTCCCCTGTCCTGGTTGCCACCGATGTTGCTGCTCGGGGCCTGGATATCAGAGACATAAGGTTTATAATCTTAACATTAATTACCACTTGTTATTTTTTTCATCATCATATTATCTCCCTAGCATTTTGCTCCTACTCGGAAATAATTTTACTTTTTTTATTTCGATATCAACAGGGTAGTTATCAATTATGATTTCCCCACTGGGATCGAGGACTATGTCCATCGCATTGGGAGAACCGGCCGAGCTGGTGCCACAGGGATTGCTTACACATTCTTCTCTGACCAGGACTGGAAACACGCTCCCGATCTTGTCAAGCTCCTCGAGGGTGCCAATCAAGCCGTGCCTTCGGAGGTGCGGGACATAGCCCTGCGTGGTGGGCCCACCTTCTCTAGGGACCGAGGCCCCATGAACCGTTACGACTCCTCCGCTGATGGTGGCCGTGGTGGCGGCGGCTTTGGGGGGCGCGGTGGGATGAGGGATGGGGGTGGTGGCCGCTGGGATTCTGGCGGTCGTAGGGGTGGAAGGGATGGTGGCTTTGGCGGCGGTCGTGGAGGGATGAGAGACGGGGGCCGTGGTGGTTGGGACAGGGGAGGTCGTGGGGGCCCACACGAGCGGTTCAACAGTTTGGACACACGGGGCCGCGGCAGGGGACGGGGCAGGGGGCGGTTTGATGGCAGGAGGGACGGCCCGGATAGGAGTAGGGGCAGAAGCTACAGCCCAAGCCCTGAGAGAGTGAGAACGTGGGGTGGCTATAGCCGCAGCCGGAGTCGGAGCCGTAGTTACAGCCGGAGTAGGAGCAGGAGCAGGAGCTGGTCGCGAAGCAGAAGCAGGAGCTGGTCGCGAAGCAGAAGCAGGAGCCGGAGCCCGAGAGGTCGAAGCAGAAGCAGGAGCCGTAGCAGGAGTTATGAGAGGTACGAGAGGAGGCCGCGTGTATCGAAATTCGACGTGATGGATGTACCTGGGCAGAATGCGGAGGTGAGTCTCCCTGTAGGTGTGGGTGCAGCCAGAGGCAATGGGCCCTCAGGGGCTGAGTCAGCTGAACAGGCTCCGTCTGTTGACCCAAATAATCAGTCTTTTCAACCGTAGAGGTGGTTTGTCGTTGAGGTATAGTATATATAGTTAATTTCCTGCATAGTACAGTTTGAAGATGTTTTACTGAATTTTAAGACGGCTGCTGTATACGATAAACTGTTAATTTTGGTCTCAGCAGGTGGAATGCGACAACTGTGGCTCGTGACTCTCGGAAAGCTATATCCGACTGGCTTCCGGTGGTCTTTAGATTTTTTGGTGGTGCTAATTTTTTGTCGGGGTTTGATTGATGTGTAATGCCTTGTTTTTCAGTTCTACTTACAGTTTCAGATTTCAACTTAATATGAATTTATCGGGAACTTGCCTAAACATAAATTATTAGCTACCTCGGAAAGAATTGTGTTATCGGAACATGGAACATATCAGTGCTTACGAGGCTGTTTTTGTTGTATTATTGCTTTTATTGATGGTCATTGGTGTTTATGGGAGATTATTGAAAATATACTTTAGTATAAATAATTTTTGCAAATGCTTTAAATCTTGTTTGGTTTGTGAATCATCCCGGTTGCTACAAGAAGCAAGAAACAAAAACAAATAAAGACTAAGTAACCGTTAGTCTGGAAAAAACTTTAGGTCTCGTTTGTTTATTGGCTTTTCAAGTTTTTTTTTTTTTTTTGGTTGTTTGACCAAGTTGGCTGTTTTGAATTGTCGACCCGCTAAAAAACGTTGTTCGGTTTTCAGTTGTTTTATATCAGCTTTTTGCTTGAAACGCTATTTTTCAAAACGCTTCAGATTGTGAGGAGCGTTTGAGAATAGCAGCTGGAATTTTAATGCTTGCATTAATTTTAATTATCCCCTTAACAATGCATTGACTATTTCAATTTTGATGGACTCTTGTTTTTCATGCTTGTACGGTAATTTACTTATTTATAGTGAGGGTAGGGGGATGGAATTTTAGACCACATCATTTTTTAAGTTCCGCAAAAATTTATATTTTTGTTGGGAAGATAACAAGAGTATTATTTGTGTCATTTATTTTTTTCAAAGGAATAAAATAAAAAAAAAAAAAAATTATGAGTATAAAATAACCAAAGGAATATAAAAATTGTATATTTGTATATATAAAAAAAAAAATTGAAGTTCATAATGCGAAATATATTTTTACAAATAATTTATTTTTACCAAACATATTTTTAAAAATCACTATTACTATCCGTTAATCAAATCAGCTGGTCAAAATAACTGTTACATTCATCTAACAACTATCTACCAAACAAGCGTTACTTACAAACCCAACAACATCTTTATCAATAAACCTTTACAAATTATCTTTACAATTCCCAATTTATATAATCCAGAATCTTAACATTACTACTACAATCATAAACCTCCCATAATAATAAACCTCAAAAATCTACTTTTGTAGGTCCAACGTGTCTTCCAATTACTTTAAATAAAATTATACATTCATATGTGTATTAATATTTTAGACATAAATCTTATTAGTTATTTTTATTAATATAATTATTTTATATATTTATCATAAATAAATTAAAAAATAAAATATAATTTTAAATGTTTAAAAACATTATCAAATTAGAAATTTAGAAATTTTATTACACAAAATGAACATTATAAATATATAAAACAACCACTACATTCAAAAAAAATCAAAGATAAATGAAAATTAAAAGAAAAAAGACCACAAAAGTTAATGAAAAATACAATAGTGAGAATGAAATGAAGATGGATAAAAAAAAAATTGAAATGAGTGCAATTTGATGAGCAACATCCTCTCGTGCTAATTTTTCAATCTACTTTCATAGATGCATTTTATTTTATTTTATTTTTCTAGTGAGGTTTGTAGAAGGTTCGGTTTTAATTTAGTTTGCAAATTCAAACCTTAACCTCTCTCACATAATAGTAAAGCTAACATATTTGGAAAGAAGATAGGTAATATTTGAAGTTTGACATAAAAAGTGAATTCTCGGTTCTAGTATTTATTTATTTCTGTCTGTTATATAACTAGAGATAAAGAGAAAATATAGAAAATGTTATAAAGCTAGGGAGAAAGAGAAAATAGAGAAAATGTATTCACTTAATTGATTTTTATTATAACTGAAGCTCATATTTATAGGAAAACTTCTGATGACACAATCGCAATAATACAATTACATCTGGGGCAAAATAGCCATTCACATTCATTATTTTAATGAAATAATTAGTGGTGGTTGAACCACCAACCAACTTAATAATTATAACACTCCCCTTTGAATGATTATTTTCTAAAAACATTTTAACTAACTTGATAAAGCTCAATCTGAACATCTTGAAGTGTATCTTGTGACCATCAGGTAATGTTGCTTCATCATGTTAGGAAAAAATAGTGGGACAAAACCTGATCATCGTGAAATCATAACATTGCTTCCTCAGGAAAACCCAGTGGGACGAAACCTGAGCATTGTGGAAGCACAACATTTGCTCCCCCTCAAATAGATAGTCTTTAGTGGAGTATCCACGTGCTGCCTCTTTAAAACCTTGTCAAGAAAACTCAGTGGGAAAAAACTTGATCGAAGAAAAAAGAGTACAACTATCACGAGGAATTATATCAATTATCCAACAATGTCATTATACCATGAATATGCCTAATTAAAACCTTATTAGGAAAAACCAGTGGGATAAAATCGTAATGAAAGAAAAAGAGTACACTATTCATGTGAATATGCCATCCATGTGCCTCATTAAAAACCTTGCTGGGAAAACCCAATGGGACAAAACCTCAGTCAAGGGAAAAAGAGTATAACATTTGTTCTTCAGGACCTGATCTTTGGCATTATTTTGAGTTTTTCCCTCCCCTTGAAGACAATAGTCTTCCTAGTTTATGCATACCAATACCATAAATGTATTTTTCAAAAGTAGATGTAGGAAGGGAGTTGGTGAATAGATCTGCCAAATTCCCACTAGATCGTACTTTTTGTACAATAATTTCACCGCTCTTCTGGAGCTCGTGTGGGTAAAAGAATTTTGGAGCAATATGTTTTGTCATATTTCCTTTAACATAACCATTACTCATTTGCAAAACACAAGCTGCATTGTCCTCGTAAAGGATAGTGGGGGTTATATCATTTTTAATTCCACATAACCCACGAATATGTTGGATTAAAGATCTTAACCATACACATTCTTTTGAAGTCTCGTATAAAGCAATTATCTCTGAGTGGTTTGAAGATGTAGTAACCATGGACTGATTGACTGACTTCCAGGAGATTGCAGTACCACCACAGAGAAAAACATAACCAGTCTGAGATCTGGCATTATGGGGTTCAGACATATAGCCAACATCTGAATATCCCACCAACGTCATATCTTGGTTATATTTATAAAGTAAACCAAGATCCTTTGAATCTTGAAGATACCTCAAAATATGTTTAATACCATTCCAATGTCTCCTCGTAGGAGAAGCACTAAACCTTGCTAGCAAGTTTACTGCAAATGCAATATCAGGTCTCGTGCAATTTGCAAGATAAAGTAACGCGCCAATGGCGCTCAAGTAAGGAACTTATGGTCCTAAAATTTCTTCGGTATCTTCTTTATGTCTAAATGGATCATTATCCACTTCAAGGGATCGGACAACCATTGGTGTGCTAAGTGGATGAGATTTATCCATGTAGAATTTTTCTAAAATCTTCTCCAAGTAGGTTGACTGATGTACAAAAATTCTTTCAGGGAGATGCTCGATCTGCAGGCCGAGACAATATTTGGTTTTACCCAAATCTTTCATTTCAAACTCCGTCTTTAGGCATGAGCTAGCTTTATCAATCTCCTCTCGTGTGCAAATTATATTTATGTCATCGACATAGACTGAAATGATGCAAAAACCATTCGTTGTCTTCTTAATAAATACACAGGGGCACACATCATTATTAACATAATTATTTTTCAACAAAAATTCACTCAGCCGGTTATACCACATTCTACCCGACTGTTTTAAGCCATATAATGACTTTTGTAATTTAACACTATACATGTTGTGTGTTTCATTTCCCTTTATTTCGGGAACTTTTAATCCCTCATTGATTTTCATATATATATATATATATATGTGTGTGTGTGTGTGTGTGTGTGTGTCTAATGACCCCTATAAGTATGTGGTCACAACATCCATTAACTGCATATCTAAATTCATATTTACTGTCAGAGATATTAAATAGCGGAACGTAATTCCATCCATTACAGGAGAATATGTTGGATCAAAATCAATATCGGGTCTCTGCGAAAACCCTTGAGCAACTAATCTCGCTTTGTATCTCACACCTTATTATTTTCATTTCTCTTTCTTGTGAACACCCGTTTATATCTTACTGGGATAACATTTTGAGGTGTACGTACAATAGAGCCAAAAAATTTTCGTTTATTTAGCGAGTCTAGTTCAACCTCAATTACCTCTTTCCATCTTACCCAATCGGAGCGCTTCCTACACTCTGCAATTGATTTAGGTTCTGGATCCAGATTATTATAGATGGTAAAGGCAACTATAGAGGTAAATGTGTCGTCAACGACTGTGTTACTTCTGTTATAAGTTTTTCCTGTATCAACCACATTCATAGCTACTTCAATATTTACATCAACCAGTTCTTCATCATTTCCCAATATATTTTGATCTGGATGTTCCGCAATCCTAGTATTTTTATTATTTGTTGCATGTGCATTTAAACTAGAAATTTCGCCTTCAAGACGATTCTCTTCTAGAGATTTCTGGAGTGATTCAATATTTTTATTACACTTTCTTTTCCCGGGATTATTGTCTTTTCTACCAACAAATCTCCCACGCTTCTGGCGTAGGGAATCTGTATGAATATTAGATTTCATGGGGACTTTCACTCGTTGTGGTGCATTTATTGAAGGTACATAAGATTTGGTCAGTCCTTTATGATCAGTGAATGCATCTGGCAAATTATTTGCTAAATATTGTAAATTAATTATCTTTTGAACTTCAAGTTCAGTTTGATTAGTGCGTGGATCTAAATATTGTAGATTTTGTACATTCCAAGAAATTTCTCGGTATTTATTTAAGTTCGGGCTTTTATCTCCCCCTAATACCGGGAAATTATCTTCATCAAATATGCAGTCAGCGTACCGAGCTGTAAGTTGATCCCCAGTCATGGGCTCTAGGTATTTAATAATATATGGAAATTCATAACCAATATATATACCTAGCTTTCTATGAAGGCCCATAGAGGTACGTTGTGGTGGTGATATAGGAACATAGACTGCACAACCAAATATTCGCAGATGGGAAATATTAGGTTCTTTACCACGCCCTAGTTGTACAGGGGAGTAATCATGATATGCAGTAGGTCGGATTTGAATTAGGGCAGCAGTATGTAAAATTGCATGTCCCCAACATGAAAGTGGTAAGTTGGAATTGTGTAGCAATGGTCTAGCAATTAATTTGATGCGCTTAATTAGTGATTCAGCTAGACCATTTTGTGTGTGAACATAAGGTACCAGATGCTCCACTTTGATGCCTAATGACGTACAATAATCATCAAAATCTTTCGATGTAAATTCACCGGCATTATCCATTCTAATAGTTTTAATTGGATAATCAGGTAATTGAGCTCTTAATTCAATAATTTTAGCAAGTAGTTTTGGAAAAGCCTGATTTCTAGTGGATAATAAACAGACATAAGACCATCGAGTGGAAGCATCTATCGATACCATAAAATATCGAAAAGGTCCAGATGTGGGATGAATTGGTCCACATATATCACCATGAATCCTATGAAGAAACATAGGAGATTCAATCCCAACTTTAGTACGTGAAGGTCTTAATATCAATTTTCCTTCGCACAAGCATCGCAAATAAATTCATTGAAAGAAGGGAAACTGTTGCTTGATACGTTATGCCCAATAGAGTTAGAAATAATCCGACGCATCTAAGCCCTGGATGACTCAATTGCTCATGCCATAATTTAAATGAATTTGGGTCTTTAAATTTTAAGCTCATTGCAACATGATTAATAGAAGGTTGAATGTAAGTATAATACAAGCCTGAGGAGAAAGAGGGAAGTTCTTCTACAATTTTCTTTTGACTGCCTTATGATTGAGTCATAAGAAGGTATTATCTATTATTTTCAGTCTTAGTTTCAAGATGAAAACCATTTGATCGAATATATTTAAAACTAAGGAGTGTTCTTTGTGATTCAGGGTACAAAAGTGCATCATTAATTATTAATTTGGTACCCTTAAGAAGAGTAAGTATAGCTCTACCGGAGCCTACTATCATTATTTTATCATGAGCAATTGTAGTAACACTCCATTTCTTTTCATTTAAGGTTTGGAAAAATTTCCTATCTTTCAAAATAGTGTGGGTAGTAGCACTATCGACCAGGCATATAATACTTTCTTTCTCCATGACTTGCATATTATTGAATGTTTTTGGCACACTAAAAGAAAAAGTAAAATAATATAAGCAAACATAGCAATGATAAAGTCCCAATAAAACATAACAAATGAAAACATGTTTGTAACAAGAACAAACCATAATTTTCAAATAGCATGAAAACAAACGTGAAATAAAAATATTCGTTACTAAGACAGAATGCATATAAAATCAGATATTATCATCATAGTTCTCGAGTCAAGCGTTAATAAATCATTATCATCATTTATTGCTAAATTTGCTTCAGGCAAACTGGCATGATGTGCTTCACCTTGAGGAGCCTTTCCTTTCTTATCTTTTCGCATTCTTTGATAAGCTTCGACTAGGTGTCGAGGAGTACGACATACTCGGGACCAATGACCATTGCATCCACACCTATAGCAAATTTGTTTATCTTGATTGTTTTGTGGAGCATCTATGTTATTATTTTCCCTACGGCCTTTCGGTTCCTCAACACCATTGCCTCATCCTCAATCTCTTGTCCAGACAAGATTACGACCTCGACCGCGTCCTTGACCACGACCATGACCACGACGACCACCACCACCACGTGGTGGCTGAGTATGATATCCTCGACCTCTTCCTCGATTATTATTATACTTATGAGTGTTAGCATGTGCTTCAGGCACAGCTTGAGTACCTACTGGCCTAGTGTTATGATTTTTCATTAACAATTGATTGTGTTTTTCGGCCACTAGTAAAGCAGAAATTAGCTCAGAATATGTTCCATTATTTTTAGTCATGTACTGCTGCTGGAGTACAAGGTTATTAGCATGAAAAGTAGATAAAGTTTTTTCCAGCAAATCAAACTCAGTAATGTTTTGCCTACAGAGTTTAAGCTGTGATACAATACGATGGAGGGCCGAATTATATTCAATAACAGATTTAAATTCCTGAAAGCGGAGATTAAGCCAGTCATATTGTGCTTGAGGAAGGATTATGGCCATTTGTTGGTCAAAATGATCCTTCAGGGATCTCCAAAGATTTTCAGGCTCTTTTTCAGTGAGATATTCATTTTTCAGATCTTTATTGAGATGATGACGAAGAAAAATTAGTGCCTTCGCCTTTTGGGTGGGAGTGCTTTCAGACGTAGAATCTATCGTGGCACTTAAATCAAATGAGGCCAAATGAATTTCAACATCAAGAGCCCAAGTTAAATAATTATTTCCATCAAAAGCGAGCTCAACAAATTCTCTCTTGGTGATATCAGACATTTTAAAATTTCAAGAAATATGAAAAATATGTGATTATAATTGAAGAAAGAGAAGAAAATATGGTGATACCATGTTTTAGGAACTAATCGATCAGATAATACAAAATTCATTTATGATTTCCAGAGTCATATGAACGTGACATTGACTTTATTTTTTAATTTCAAATTTAAACAAATCAAAAGACAAAATTATTAGGTAGTTATGAAAAATGTTTCCAACAAACTATTTTTTAATGTCAAATTTAACAAATCAGAAGACAATTATTAGGTAGTTATGAAATAGTATCCAACAAACTTTAAATTAAACGGCATATAACCACCAGATCTGGAGTTGGTCCATTCGGCGATCACCACCGGTCTCGAGGTCCAGCGGCTCCCCAACCCCACGTTCTTCACCACCTTCAATACGTCGTAATCCTCCACCACCTGCCCGAACACCATGTGCTTGTCATCAAGCCACTTCATCCTTGTCGTGCGGATGAAGAATTGCGTGTCGTTTGTCCCCGGCCTGACATTCGCCATCGACAGGTCTCGATGTGCTTTCTCACGATATTTTTATCGTCGAACTTGGCATCGTAGGTCGACTCGCCGCTAGTGTCGTTACCCACAGTGAAGTCGCCGCTCTGGAAAAATGAAATCGGGGATTACACGGTGGAAGGATGACACTTTGTGGTGGAGGGGCTTGCCAGATTTGCCGACGCCTTTGTCGCCGGTGCATAGGGTGCAGAAGTTCTCGGCGGTCTTCGGGACGACATCAGCGAAACCCTAAGATTCGATAGGTTGATTTTAATTTTTTATTTAGGGGCTTTTTGTGAATTTTTTATTCGAGACTAACTGATTTTTTTTTTTTGTACCAATCTTAGTGTTTTGAGATTCGGTGGGGAGAGGTTTATATAAGTGATCGATTGAGTGCAAACTTTAAAAAGATGGATTATTTCTAATTTTTAAAAGATTTTGTGGTTAGATAAGTACAGAGTAAAAAACATTTACCAAGAATTAACATAATATGAGATCCTTTCCAAACTTTAAAAAGATTGTGTAGTTAAATAAATATGGACAAAAAAAGTACCATAGATAGAGATTGGCCCAGATTTTCAAATCTTTTTATATATATAAATCAACTTGTGCTTAGGGTGGGAATTTATGGACAAACCGAGGCCACCAACAAGACGCTCCTAAAGATGATCAAGAAGACAACCAAGAACGGCCGTGACTGGCACGGGAATGTTTCTTCGGCTTACAATTCAGAGTCCACAACCGTATTATATATATATACCCATTATCAGTAAAAATAAAAATTTTAGGCTGGATTTTACATACTATTCACAACTAAATGTTTTGTCTTTTTATATATTCATAGATAATGTAAAACTGATAAAAAATACAAAAGTGATGAACTTTTAAAATAAATTTACAATTCAATGGTTATATAATAAGAAATGATATTAAAATTCAATTAATACATGTAACATGACCATAAATAATTATCATATTTATGGATAATTCAGACCTAATTATTTTTGGATTGAAAGTAAATTAAAATCTACCCAAGTCTGATATAACGAAGCATATAATTTTTCCACATAGAATCCCGAAACATGCGGCGCTTTGCTTCATTCGTTGGGCTGACAAAGTTGAGGCTGATTGTTTAAGGGTGAAAGACTTTCTTTGTAAATCTACTCAAACCTAATAACGAAATATGTAATTTTTCCACATAGAATCCCGAAGCATGCGAGCCTACTACTTAGACTTAGCACGTTTCGAATTAATATATAAAAGCAATTTTCTTTATCAGTCATGCATAGATAAAAATTCATTGTTAAATCTATTTATTATATCTATATAATTGTGCCTCTAACACATTAAAAAAAAAAAAAAAAAGAAAGAAGCTAACAAGAATCTCGCTACCAGCAACTATAGAGGAGGTCGAGTACATAATGTTCACAAGGGACACGTGTAGGATCTTGATATAAAAGAAATAAACAATATAAAACAACAACAACATACCCAGTATAACAGATAAAAATGAAACGTATTCAAGAAGCTAACCGTTCTATGTAAATAAGTAAGATGTGGAGAGGGTAAATGTTAATCACTCTACACACTCTGTTCTATTCTATTATGCTCTATAAAACTTTTCACTACCATTTATTGACTTGATCGTCGGAATTTTAACGTCGGGAACATCTCCCGACATCTTTGCAGGTCTCTGATGGGCAAGGTGATCGAGGATCGTTGGATGACCGGTTCGAGTGCTAGAGGACATCAATCTGCAGCCTTGATTCAAGTAAAAAAATTTGCCATGCCCCCGTAGTACCAAACTAGAGTCCTAGTTTCTTCATTGGACTGTGTTTGCCCATAGGGGTACTTCAGTAAATTCAATCACGTTCTTCGAATATTACAACCAAGCACTCGATTCCTGTACGTGTAGTACAGCTTCTGCCACCAAATCGCCCTCTTTATGAGAGCTTTCAATTTTTCCTCTCTATCGACCGCCTTTTGTATTTTTCCACTCTCCCGCTCGCTCTAGGGTTTGCAGCATTAATTTCAGAAAATCACAATCAGAATCGGAAGATTTTTATTTAATATTTGATCATTCAGCTGCTTTCTGGGTCAGCCATGGCTTAATTTTGCTCTTCTTCGTGATAAAGGGTACTTTATTTTCTAATCATTTGTTTATCTTTTCTTGTGTGCGTGTTTGTCTGGTGGTTGTTTGACTATTCGCGTGCTTGTAATATCTTGTGATAGTTAAACCCCACATGTTTAGATTTTTGGTTTTTTTTTTTTCTTGGAGTAATCATGTCTTTTTCTTAAGGTCAAAATCGCTGTTGGGTTCCGATTTTTGGGTATATTTGTGGTGGCATTTTTATTTTATGTTGAGGAGTTTTGTTTGTTTGGATGGATGTCTTGAGGATTAATCAAGTTGCCAACATTCTAATTCGCTTACTCGTACGTTTTATTGAAGTGATTCTGGTATTGAATTTCATTGTCTGTGGTGTTCTGTTTGTCTTCTTGCGTTCTTGATGACGATTCTGCCCCGAACAAAGTTTTCTTCTTGGTTGTATGTGTTGCAGAACCATTTCGGGGACTCGGTTCTTTAATAATGAATTCTTTTTCTTATTAATAGGGCAATTGTGCGATGATGTTACTTCATTTTCGTCGAGTTATAGAAATAGGAAGTATCACAAACTCAAGTGGTATATGAGGGATAAAAAGTTGTTATCCTTAATATAAAGTATCGCCATTACAAGGAATGTAATTCAAACTCGGAACTTTCCTTGGCTACTTACAATCTAGAATTGTCATTTTTGTGAATCCAACTCGTGCACAATAAATAGTTGTGTAAATCCAACTAGGTATCATTTTATATACGTGACTATTATCTTGGCAATGTGATAAATCAGAGGCAAGATTAAGTCTCCCCATACCTCATAGGGTTGGCAAGTCCTAGGATGGAAGCGTAAAACTTTCCTGATCAAGGACTTGCTGGCATGTATCTAGCAGTTTTCACCATTGGCTTGATGCTTTAGTGATCCGTTTCATCTATTATTTTGCTTTGAATTTCGTTTTATAGATTGGATTGGTTTGCCTACTTTACTGATTGTTTATATAATCTGCCGGGGGATTTGAGTTAAGGATAATAAGCAGATTACTTATACTATATTTTTCCATTTGTATTGACATTACCCTATATCGTTTCATGGTATTGATATTTAAAAGGGCAATTACTATTGTTTTTTTTTACCAGATTCAATAAATTGAGTCTAAGCAACAATTTCGGGGTCAAAATTGAACAAAGTTGAAGCCATGTATAATGAAGGAATCCCAGAGTACCTTATCGATCAGGGATTGTATTATCCTACCGCTGCTAACTATGGATATTTCGGTACAGGCAATAATCTATATATTCAATGTTCCATTTTGTTGAAAATAATTTGATATGAATGTTAAACTTATAAGCTCAGCCGTGTCGTTGCGAATGTAAAAATCAGCTGATATGATGTTACCTTCTGCCTTTGGTAGGATTTGAATCATCAGGTAACTGGGAAGACCCCCATAGCACTTTTGGTCTGGATGGTCAAGAAATTCATTATACTGTGAGTCCCATTCCAATGAATTATATATAATTTTCAATACTTATCAGATTGGGATATTAAATCCGAACCTTTTCTTGTAGGGGGCAATAAACGAAGGTCTGCCGTACGTTTATTATGCAACCCAGGGATATGGATACGAACAGTACCATTATAACCCATACAATCCTTATATTCCAGGTGCTGTTGAAGGATCCACAGTAGCTCCTCAACAATATTATGCAGTCCCATCATATGAAAACTCAGTACCATCACCTGCTTATGCTCCTGTTCTTCAGTCAACCGCTGGTGCTGTTTCAAACACGATATCCAATTCGTTTATTGATAATGGCACACCCATTAATAGAGCTGATGGTCTATTTGCTAATCACAATCTGCGCTTGGATGCTCCTAATGCTACTATGACCTTAGGGGGGGATGCCTCTCTCCGGATGACATCCGAAGGGCATAGAGCTAATAATGCTGCATCAGGCAAGAAGGCTGTGCCGAGCATTACTTCTGCTAAATTGGGTAGTCAACCACCATCACAGATTGGCCAGGTAAGAACCTTATAGTTGATAATTCACTCATTTTGCAAATTGTTATCTGATATTTGCTGAGCATGTCCCCTTCTCTTTATATCTTGTCGTGTAGGTTAGAGGTCCTCAAGGCACTGAAATTGGTGTACATGGGAAGGCTGCTTCATTTGGTGATAGTCAACCAAAGAGTGCATTTACTTCTGTCGATGGATTATCCAGTTTTGAATCAAGGATTCCTAGCACAGGGTCTGTACATAAAGTTAAGCCCAAGATACCTTATGGTGGTGTCCGTGAGGAAGAAAGAGTCAGCCTTGGAACATTGGTCGAGCAGAATCCGGGGTCAAGACCAATCAAACCGAAGACTCAGATTGTTGTCGAGGCCCTCACAACGAGGGCTGGAAACCCCGATGCTCATGGAAACATCACCATCTTTCCAGATGAATATAACATAGCAGATTTCCCCGTTGAGTACAGAAATGCAAAGTTCTTTGTGATCAAGTCTTATAGCGAGGATGATGTGCATAAGAGCATAAAGTATAATGTATGGTCATCTACGCCCAACGGAAACAAGAAGCTTTATGCTGCGTATGAAGATGCACAGAAAATAGCAGAAGGAGATCCTAGAGGCTGTCCTATCTTCCTCTTCTTTTCAGTATGCATCTCATTCGTGCTTATATTTTTTTAAGCATCTGTATGATGGCTCTGAATTATTATTATTATTATTATTATTATTATTATTATTATTATTATTATTATTATTATTATTATTATTCAAAAGTATTTTTTCCCTTCCTGGTTATTTGTTCAGCTTTAATCATTGCTGCTCTTTTGTTTTTTCTTGTACACAACAGGTCAATGCTAGTGGCCAGTTCTGTGGTGTGGCGGAGATGATTGGCCCTGTGGACTTCCACCGTGATATGGATTTCTGGCAGCAAGATAAATGGAGTGGTAGCTTCCCTGTGAAGTGGCACATAATAAAAGATTTGCCAAATCCCCATTTTCGGCACATCATACTAGAGAACAACGAGCACAAGCCGGTGACTAACAGCAGGGACACACAAGAGGTATCATAAGGTTTTTTGCCCATACGCATCTATTCGTTATTGCCTGGATTAAGTGTCCCTATCTGTAACTATAACTTGAATTATTATTTCTAGATACCTTACAAGAAAGGTCTGGAAATGCTGAGGATATACAAAAACCACACGTCAAGGACATCCTTGCTCGACGACTTCATGTATTATGAGAACAGGCAGCGGATCATGCTGGAGGAGCGGGCACGGCTAATTCGTAAAAGCTATGAGAACCCTTATCTTGTCCCGCTACTCGATCCTCCTCGCAAGCTTCAGCCCATTAACAATCCTCCTAATGGAAGCATGAATTCTACCAGAAATAGTCCCTCCACTTTGACTATTGTGAACAAAAGCATTGTTCCAGGGGATGCTGGATTAGACTTGTCGACCAAGAAGCAATTATTTGATGCTAATGCTGACTCGAAAGTGGTTGATGAATTGAAAATGAGTTCGCTGAGTATACGTTCAGATGAGGGAGAGTCTGGAAGTCGCCCATCATCTGGTGCTGTAGATTCTAAGGCGTCTGCTAAAACTGGGCCTATTGACATTGTCACCATAGGGTCAATGCCGGTCAATGTCAACAGCAGTGGGTCTTCTGGTATTTTGACGGTTGGGACAATTCCACTCGACCCCAGAGCTCTTCTGCATGATTAGGTTTGATGATGGGGAATCGTTTTTTTTTTTTTTTTTTTTAATATATAAAATTTGCGGTGCATGATTGGTGAATTTAGATGAGGTATTTGTTCTTTGTGAGGCGGTGTTAATACTTTTGGGAAGGTCGCTGGGTGAAGTCCCGGCCAGTCTTCTTGTTTACGTTAGAGCATGCATATATATGATAGCCCTCTGCTGTTGTGGGATACAATGGTGCAACTTGGTGGGATTTTGAAGACAATGTTTGATTGCTTTTTTTCTCATTTTCTGTGAGGGAGAGGTTTTTGGGTGTCTGAGTTCGTCAACTCATTGGCTTTCCATGTAACTTTACTTTGTTTTGGCTTTCTTCATGACTTACAAAAGTTGATATGAAGGGAAGGTAGAAAAAGAAAAATGACAAATACTGTATTATGAAGTTTTTGGACTTGTTTTCTTTAAGAAAAATATAAAATGCAACAATTGATATTAAGGAATGTAAGAAATATAATCTGATGTTTCTTTGTTGTTTCCTTGTAATTTCATTACACTTTCCTTGCAGCTGCAAAGCACTTTCATAGCGGCCATTTTAGGATGATTTTTAGGACTTTTCAACTTAAGTAATTTCTAGGAAAGTCACTAGATAGTTGTTTTTAGTTTTTATAAATAGGGGTGCAGTTTTTTTGTAAACACACAGAAAAACTTAATACTCAATACATTGAGTTGTTCACAATCTTCTTCATTCATCCTAAAAGTCTTCGTTTGTGCCGGAAACATTTTTTGCTTACCTGAGCAGTGAACGAGCAGGGACTAACAAGTGGCATCAGAGCCATGGCAAGTCAAGATGTTGCATCGATGGTGCAAGGGAGCGGAGCATACGCTTCACCACGCCAGGAGGTCATCATCCACAGGACCGTGCGGGACGTTGGCGGGGCCAATTGGCTGGTCCTCACACGCACAAACTACGGCGAATGGGCGGTGCTGATGAAGGTCAAGTTGCGTGCGCGCAAGCTTTGGCGGGCCATCGAGGAAGGCACCGAGGATGAAGAAGAGGACTGCGCAGCGATGGAAGCGATTCTGTCCGCTGTGCCTCACGAGTACGTGGAGTCGCTGGGCGCAAAGGACTCCGCAAAGGCTGCTTGGGACGCCCTCATGGCCATGCGCATCGGGTCTGATCGCGCAAAGAAGGCGAAGGCGCAGCAGTTGCGGCGGGAGTACGAGGCGCTGGCATTCCGCGACGGCGAGGCAGTGGAGGATTTCTCGCTCCGTTTGCAGTCGCTCGTCAGTCAGCTGGCGGCACACGGCGTCACCATCACCGACGAGGAGGCGGTCGCAAAATATTTGCGCGTCGTGCCGCCTAAGTATGCCCAGATAGCGCTCTCCATCGAGACGTTGATCGACATGTCCACCCTCACGATTGAGGATGTGACTGGGCGCTTGGGGGTAGTGGATGACCGCGTGGAGACGGCGACGATATCTACCAGCGACAAGTTACTACTGCCCGAGGAAGAATGGGCAGCTCATATGCACGAGCGGCGACCCGGGGAAGGCTCCTCTAACCGTGGCGGCTACGGCAAGCACCGTGGCAAGGCCCCGCAGAAGAAGAAGGATGGCAACAACGCACGTCCGATCGATAAGGACACTTGTCGACGCTGCGGGAAGACAGGGCACTGGGCCCGAGATTGCAAGAATCCTAAGAAGGAGAAGAGGGAGGCGCACCTCGCGCAGGTGGACGACGAGGAGCCAGCTCTTCTCATGGCAACGACCTGCAAGTTGCACGACGTCGAGCCAGAGTTGGAGGAAGTCAAGGCGGCAGCTACAGAGCAAGGGAAGGCACTGCAGGCCGTTCACCTCGACGAGTCGAGTGCCCAAGTCCACCTTGGACGAATGGGCGGTGGCATGGAGCAGAGGTGGTACCTGGACTCCGGCGCCAGCAACCACATGACCGGCTCCAAGGAGGCCTTCTCCGAGCTTGATGACGGCGTGACAGGGACGGTGAAGTTCGGCGACGGCTCGAAGGTGGAAATTCGAGTCGCGGCACTGTCATCTTCCGGTGCCTTAACGGCGAGCACCGCGCATTGACGGATGTGTACTATATCCCGCAGTTGCGTTCAAGCATCATCAGCATCGGGCAACTGGACGAGCACGGCTGCGAGGTGCTTGTCAAAGGCGGCGTGCTAAAGCTCCAGGACCAGGAACAGCGGCTGCTGGCTAAGGTCCAACGTTCCCGGAACCGCCTTTACCTCCTCGACTTGAAAGTGGAGCAACCTGTGTGCTTGGCGGTACGACACACTGAGGAGCCATGGCTATGGCATGCTCGTTTCGGCCATTTGAGCTTCGACGCACTCGGTCGGCTGAGGAATATGGTGCGCGGGCTCCCGCACATCGAGCACGTAGGCGAGCTGTGCGATAGCTGCCTAGCAGGGAAGCAGAGGCGGCTGCCTTTTCCAAAGGCGACCAAGTATCATGCGGCGGACGTCCTCGAGCTCGTCCACGGCGACCTCTGCGGGCCGATCACGCCGGCTACGCACGGCGGAAGACGCTACTTCCTGCTGCTCGTGGACGACTGTAGTCGTTACATGTGGTTGCATCTCCTGACGAGTAAGGATCAGACGACGGAGGCGATCAAACAGTTCCAGACGCGGTCTGAGGCAGAGTCCGGGAAGCGGCTGCGCGTACTAAGAACGGATCGCGGTGGTGAGTTCACATCTGTGGAATTTGCCGCGTACTGTGCAGATCAGGGGGTGGTTCGCCATCATACTGCGCCATATTCACCACAACAAAACGGCGTAGTGGAGAGGCGGAATCAAACCGTGGTGGGCATGGCTCGAAGCATGATGAAGGCAAAGAGCATGCCAGCGGAGTTCTGGGGAGAGGCTGTGAGCACGGCGGTGTTCATCCTCAACCGCGCGCCCACGAACACCATTCGAAGCTTGGCATGGCAGGCAGCCTGACGTCTCGTTTCTGAGGACGTTCGGGTGCATTGGCCATGTGAAGAAGACGAAGCCCTTCCTGTCCAAGCTTGAGGATAGGAGCACACCGATGGTGTTCCTAGGCTACGAGGAGGGGAGCAAGGCCTATCGGCTCTACGATCCACGTGGAGGCAAGGGTGTGGTCTCGCGAGATGTGGTGTACGACGAAATGGCGGCGTGGGATTGGGAGAATCCTGGCACGGGGGAAGCCCGTGGCGTCGGCGGTACGTTTGTCATCGAGCATTTGGTGATCCACGGAGGAGGAGATGCGGGATCAGAGGAGCCAGCTGCGGACGCGCCAAGTCCAGCAACTGTGGTTGCGTCAGTTAAGCCGCAAAGTCCGGCCATGGGCACGGGCGAGGAGTCTCCACCAGCAGCTGCGCACACGCCCCCACCACAGTCCCCTGCTGCGGCAGGACAGGGGACACCTCCAGCGACGACAGTTGAGTTCACCTCTCCTCCAAGCAACATCGACGAGTATGTGGATGCCTTCCACGATGGTGAGGAAGTGAGGTTTCGCAGGATGGACAACCTCGTTGGCAACTCGGTTGTACCAGGCTTGGCAAGCCGATTACTCGAAGATCAGGAGCTGCTCTTCGTCAGCGCAGAGGAGCCATCGACTTTCGCGCAGGACGAGCGCGATGCTAGTTGGAGACGAGCTATGCTAGAGGAGATGAAGGCGATCGAGGAAAATGAGACGTGGGAGCTCGTCGATCCACCTCCAGGCTGTCATCCAATCGGCCTCAAATGGGTCTACAAGGTCAAGCGGGACGAAAGTGGCGCCATAGTCAAGCATAAGGCGCGCCTCGTTGCTCGCGGTTTCGTCCAGCGTAAGGGCATCGACTTTGAGGAAGTTTTTGCACCAGTGGCACGCATGGAGTCAGTTCGCCTACTGCTGGCCATGGCAGCAGCGAAGGACTGGCGCATTCATCACCTGGACGTGAAATCGGCCTTCCTCAACGGCGAGCTAGCGGAGACTGTCTACGTCAAGCAAGCCCCGGGCTTCGCCGTCAAGGGAGAGGAGCACAAGGTGTTGCGATGCGAAAGGCACTCTATGGGGTGCGACAAGCCCCGCGAGCGTGGAACGCCAAGCTCGATGTCACCCTGGGTACGCTTGGGTTCACGCGCTGCGCGACAGAACACGCGCTCTACACGCGACGACGGGGGAAGGAAGAGCTCATCGTCGGCGTGTATGTGGATGACTTGATCATCACCGGGGCAAGAGAAGGGGACATCAACGGCTTCAAGCGCGAGATGGCAGCTCGTTTCCGCATGAGCGATCTCGGGCAGCTCTCCTACTACCTCGGCATCGAGGTGAAGCAGGGGAGAGACTCCATCACTCTCTGCCAGCGTGGGTATGCGAGGAAGCTGTTGGAGCGGAGCGGCATGGCTGACTGCAAATCATGCGCGACTCCGATGGAGGAGCGGCTGAAGCTGACAAAAGCCAGCACCGCGGCGAAGGTGGATGCAACACTCTACCGGAGTATCGTCGGCGGGCTACGCTACCTAGTCCACACGAGGCCAGATATCGCATTCGCCGTGGGCTATGTCAGCCGCTTTATGGAGGACCCTCGAGAGGACCATTGGGCTGCAGTAAAACGGCTGTTGCGCTATGTCAAGGGGACAGTGGATCAGGGCATCATTTTCCCCAAGACCGGCGACGGAAGTGAGCTGCGGCTCACGGTTTTCAGCGATGCAGACATGGCAGGCGACATTGATGGGCGGAAGAGCACCTCCGGTGTGCTCGTCTTCCTTGGATCGGCCCCAATCTCATGGCAGTCGCTGAAACAGAAGATTGTGGCGCTGTCTACGTGCGAGGCGGAGTACGTGGCGGCAGCCACAACGGCATGTCAGGTGGTCTGGCTGCGTCGGTTGCTGGGCGAACTGACCGGCAAGGAAGCTCGTCCACCAGCTCTGATGGTGGACAACCAGCCTGCCATTGCCCTTGCAAATAATCCAGTCCTCCATGATCGGAGCAAGCACATCGATACCCGTTTTCACTTCATCCGTGATTGTATCAATGAAGGACATATTGTTTTGGAGTTTGTCGAATCCGGACGACAACTCGCAGACATCCTTACCAAGCCACTCGGCCGTCTTCGGTTCATGGAGCTAAGGACCAAGATTGGAATGGTGGGAAACAAGCAAGAACAGCAGGATTAGGGGAAGAATTGTAAGAAATATAATCTGATGTTTCCTTGTTGTTTCCTTGCAATTTCATTACACTTTCCTTGCAGCTGCAAAGCACTTTCATAGCAGCCATTTTAGGATGATTTTTAGGACTTTTCAACTTAAGTAATTTCTAGGAAAGTCACTAGATAGTTGTTTTTAGTTCTTATAAATAGGGGTGAAGTTTTTGTTTTGTAAACACACAAAAAAACTTAATACTCAATACATTGAGTTGTTCACAATCTTCTTCTTTCATCCTAAAAGTGTTCGTTTGTGCCGGAAGAATTTTTTGCTTACCTGAGCAGTGAACGAGCAGGGACTAACAAGGAAGAGAAGGTAGAACATTTTTTTCAACTGTTGTGTTAGTAAAATTTTGTCTTGTTTTCTTTGAGAATGTGTTGGATGCGAAAGGATGAAGGCTTGGATACAAATATATCTGTCTAAAATAAGTTTTTATTTTTTTTTAATTAGTTTTGGAATTGGATGGTTTGGTTAGTTGTTAATTAGATTTTCAATTTATATTAAAATAATATTTAAAATAAAATAATTAAAGTTGATTTAACATAGAAGTATAAAGGAGATGACGTGAAGTAAAGATTAGTTAAAATTATGTGAGCGAATGTGTAAGAATAAATAATTGATATTGTTCAATACATTGATAATAATGAGAATAGTAAAACTGAGTTAAATTAGAGAGATTTCAATTTTCTTTTTTTTTTTTTAGTACAATGAGAGATTTGAATATTAATTGAGTATGAATTGATATAATTTTTTCTTTCTTTACTTTCTTTCAGGGATGTTATTGAACCGAACCGAGCTTAAGGTTTTCGAACTCCAGTTTGACTAAATTTCGAACATGTTCGTGTTCGTTTGTTTAATATTCGAGCAAAAAATTCCGTTCGACGTTTGATTATTGGTTCGATAAGTTCGTGTTCGTTTGTCTATATAGTCGACTTGTTTGTGAATTGTTCGAATTGTTTGACAAACTCGTGTTCGTGTTTGTTGACTTTTTTTATTTATTTTAATACCATACAAGTTATTTTATTTAATATTTAATATATATCCATATTTATATCCCCCTATATATTAATTCAGAACGCGCTGAGCCTACGTGGCTGCTTCATGTGCTTCAGAATCCTATGTGGCAAAATTACATGCTTTGTTATTAGGCTAGAGTAAATTTTAGTTTAATTTCAAATAAAAAATAATTAGGTTCGGATTACCATAAATATGTTGATTATTTATGGACATGTTACATGTATTAATTGCATTTTAATATCATTCCTTATTATAACTACTATTGAATTGTATATATAATATCATTCCTTATATATATATATAACTACTTTTGTAATTTTTATTCGTTTTACATATGTAATATATCAAATTAATCTTCTTTTGATGAGCTTCGATTTAACATCCATATTGTATGTATAAAAAAAAATTTATATTTATCCTTATAACAATAATAAAATTATTTTTATATTAATTAGAAAAATAAAATTATTTATCAACTAATATATTTATATTTCAAGTAGTTATATGATATAAGTTATAAAAACTAATATAATATAACACATGTAAGTCATAAGTAACACATATCATTCTAAAATATATAGTAATACTATTTTTTTTGTAAATAAATAACTAAATTTAATATAATTTTCTCATTAATTTTAAAATTTAAGAATAATTTTTTAACAAGCACCCGTGTAATACACGGGTGTTGTACTAGTATTGTATTATATGTATATACTGAATACAATATATAAAATTATAAAATATCTTTTTGTTTGTGAACGCTTGTTTAGTTTGCTAGCTTGTTCGTGTTCGTTCGTTAACTAAACAAGCATAATTTCACATACGAGTTCAGATCGATTACTAAACGAACAATCTGTTATCGAACCCGAACGGTCTTTGTTCGCGAATAGATCGGTTCCGTAACAACCTTACTTTCTTTCCTATTCCATCCATTTTTGTTTTTCCTCTCACCTCCCTTATTTTCTTTTTCTTCCCCTCTCTTTTCTCTATTTCGTTCTATTTAAATTTAACCATCTTTTAACTGTAAATTTATATCTAATTTATTGTATGTTTATAAATCAATACAAGGATACAAATTCCAACTTTATATATAGTTTGTATTTAGTTTATTATAGTTTTATAAACCAATACTCTTGCACAAACTAAAACCAAAAATCATATCGCCAAAATTACTCAACAGCTAAAACATAAAACTCGACATAACTACAAATAAAAATGAAAAGAAAAAACAGTTAGTATACATATCCATGAGAAATAGCCAAAAGAACATATACAATAATCAACCAAAAAACAAATTGTTCATTTGTTGTCTTATACTAATTTTTTCGTCAACAAAAATACTCCGCTAATATACCAAACATAAAATATAAATAAACATCAAATAAACATCGAAACAGATCTGGCTGGAACTCTACACACACCGTCGCCGTTCACAAGCAGAGATGTGGCGAAGGAGTGAGGTGTGTGGTTTGTGTCATGGGAAAAAATAAAAAAATAAAAAAGGGAAGAAATGGGGACATAGAAATAAGTGGATTGCTATTTACCGCCCCCCTATTACTAGTCACCGCCCCTCCCCCTAATTACGAAAATACCCTTTACTATATTTTTGTGTTTTCTCTCTCTAAACTCTCTATCTCTCTAAAACCGTAACTTCAACGACTCGTACGCACGTCAAAAAAATCCCGAAAAAATGTCGAAAAAATCCTACGGTCTCGGCAAAGCGTTCTTCTCTAGCAAGGTATTTTTTTTTATAATTTAAATAATTTTTAAATTTTTTTTTTAAAAATCTGGGCCCGCGTCCGGCCGGTCGGACCGGACGCGGGGCGGGCCGTGCGTCTGCCTTTACCGCACGGCCCGCGGGCGACCGGTCTTTTTGACCGGTCGCCCTTTGATATGTGCGGCCTGACCGGGCCGCACGGTCGCCTTCACGTGCGACTTATGGGGCCGGTCGTACGGTGACAAAACCGGCCCCTCCGGCCGGTGACGAACCGGCCGGACGTTTTTTTTTTCTTAATTATATTATAATTAAATAATAAAAATAATTATTCTAAATATTAATAAATATTATAATATAAAAATAATTAAAAAACGAAAAAAAAATTATAATAAAGATATTTATGAAATAAAAGAAAAAATATTACATTAATAAGGAAAAAAATATTATAATATATTTATTTGAATATTTAAAAACTAAAAATATTAGCATAATATAAATATAATAATAATTATAATATAAAAGAAAAATATATCACATTAATAAAGTAAAAAATATTGTAATATATTTATTTGAATATTATAAAATTAAAATATTAGCATTTAATTAATAATAATTATAATATAAAATAAACTAGTTACTTTATAAAATTAATATATTAGCATTTAAAAACATATATGTAAAAATTTAAAAAATATTACATATGTATAAAAACATATATATAAATTAATATAAATGAATATATGTAATTATCGTATTATATAAATTAAAAAAAAAAATTTACTAATTATTACTTTAAATTGTTCATTTAGGGTATTCGTATACCTGAACAAGCTGACCGTGAGGACCCGGCCGACAATATTATGCATGGTTCTGGAAACCGACACGTTATAAGTCGGGGTATAACTGCGTCCGGTCGCCGCACTAGGGAGGACGCGATCAAAGAGGCTCGGATGTTACAAACTGGTCAGGTTGGCCAGTCCTACAATTCGAGACTTCACGCACCAGTCGTACCGGTTGGTCAGCAAGGGTATGGCCAGGCAGGCAGTTCTAGAGTCCCCGTCCCCGGACCATTACTGTACGATCATGATCAGCATAGATATTATTATGCTGGCCAGGCAGGCAGTTCGATACCTCGTGCACTAGCACCGCACGGTCAGCAGGTATATTATGCTGATGAGTCGGTAGCCCAGACGGAGCAGTCTTCTGACGAGTCCGCATCATATGACGATGCGTACGATCCTGGACTCCCGCCACATCATACACCTCCTGCTCAGCATACACCTCTACACAACATGCGTCTCCTGCACAGCCTGCGGTTCCTGCACAGCCTACGGCTCCTGTTCGGCCTGCTATTCCACGACAGGCTGGTGGGCGTTTTACTAGCACTGGATCCTCAGGTAAATAATTTAAGTATTTTTATTTCGTTTGACATTAATATTTCGACTTAATCGCAACAAATTATCAGTACTGTTAGTGACATTATTTCAATTATGTATTTATATATTTGTCTTTTCTATTCTAATGTAGGTACTAGCAAACGATCTAGGACTGATGATGGGGCAGACTGGATCGTTAGAGGTCTAGTTCCCGGTAGGCCCATAGATGGGAGTGTGATCCCTAGCTTTCTAGGGCACGTAGCCTCCCGAATGTCGAGTGGACAGATGCGAGACTTACTGAAATGCCAGAACAGGCAGCGAGCTGTAGAAAATCTGAAAGCGTGGCGAGGTGAAATGTCTGCCGAGGCACTTGATCTGATTAGACAGACCGGGCTGTCACATCTGGTAGACTCCATGCACGCCCACTTGAACACTCCACTGATTACTGCATTTGTGGAGCGATGGCAGCTTGATACTAACTCGTTTCACATGCCTTTTGGTGAGATGAGCATTATGTTGCACGATGTCCGGGCCATTTTGGACATTCCTGTTGAGGGAGGTGTGGTCGTTGAGGACCCGGATTCAGAGGCATGCCAGGCTTACTGCATGGAGATACTTTCGGTCACGAAGCCTGACCTAATTGCGTCCGTGTGGCAGCGTGTTTCGGTGGCCGAAGCCTCTGTTGGGGAGATATTTAGAGGTAAAAATAAGTTGGCTTCAGATGAGGCTGGTGCCTGGATTTGGGTGCTGCTGGCTACCACGTTGTTCATAGACAAGAGTGGTAGTAGAGTGAGTCCGAAGCTCCTACATGAGGTGCTCGACGGCTTGGATGCCATTGGAGGTTACTCCTGGGGGTCGGC